TTAACAGCATGTACATGTACTTGAAATGAGAAAATCTAACATTTTATCAATGGCCTTTATGTGAGCTAGTATAAGAGAGTGTCCATGTACTTGAAATGAGAAAGAATAACAACATGTCTCTGGCCTTTATATGAAAAAGTATAGCATAATGTCTATGGTCCCAGTGTGAGAAAGTATTGACCTGAAGACAGTCCAGTATTGCTGGAACTCAAACGCCAGCCAGAATGGTATGAAAATGTAAATTGGTTTGGTCCGAATCATGTGGTACAGATAGGTTAATAGGGGGAGGGGCAGACGTGGGGGAAGTAGAGGATGGAGCACGCGATTGGAAAACTGGTACAAATTGGTACTGGTGCTGGTGATAATAAACCGGTAGTGATCTCCCCTAAACTTTCTCGAATATTCTTATATAAAACAACAGGGGATGGTAACTGGGGATATAGTTATGATTTTTAATCCATTTTAAATACTTAAACTTTTAAAAATAGAATAGAATCTCATAAAAAAAACATTGCGCACCAAGCAAACGCCGAATAAAAACGCGTATAATAGTGCGCAATATTATTAGTACTTTAAAAATTTACATTAGTTTTTTGAGAAATCGGAAGTAGCGTAAATTACTACTTCCAGTCAACGGAAATTACTCAAAATTTAACAGAAGGTAGAGAATTAGATCTTTTACTTACATGTGAAATTTCATTTATCTATCTGAAATAGTACTCAAGTTATAGGCTTTTGAAAAATTCAAAGTAGGAAAAGTACCACTTCCGGTTATCGGAAATCGCTCAAAAGTTGATACGGATCTACGATTTTGATAAAATACTTATATATGAAATTTCATCAACCTAGCTGTAACGGTACTCAAGTTATCGTGTTTACACACGGACAGACACACAGACACACACACACACAGACATACGGACAAGATTGCAAAATTATGTTTTTCCGTATCAGTGAGGTGTAAAACGTCGAGATTTGTAAAAATCTCGATTTTTTTTTTTTGCACGATTACAATACTTTCTCTATACTACGTATATACGAGAAAGTAAAAAAGGTCAACGCTTAAGGATAGGTGTAGGTATAGGATAGTGCTACTGATACTTGAGTGTAGGTATACAACAGTGCTACATGTATTTGAGTGTAGGTGAGGTATAGGATAGTGTTACTGGTACTTAAGTGTAGGTGTTGGTATTAGTGCTAATGGTACTTTTCTGAAAGGGCTAATACTTGAATGGAAGTGGGGTCAGTGGCGTCGCTATGACGGGGTGTCACCCGGTGCGGCAATTCATGGTGTCACCCCCCCCCCTCAAGAAACAAAGTAAACACACACACACACACACACACACACACACACACACACATATATATATATATATATATATATATATATATATATATATATATATATATATATATATATATATATATATATATATATAGGCCAATAATTTAAGTATATGCCACATACGCGTACATGTATGTGTAAAAGCTTTAATCGCTGCTGACGTAATAGTAACGATGTTTATCTTTAATCTGTTAATAATACAGTTGGATGTAGCATTGTTTTCTCTAAAGTTAGCGCGTTTAAGTCATGGTGTCACCCCTCCCCCTTGTAATAATTGACGATTCGTACTTAAAAGACTATTTACCTCTAATTAATCATTATTAGAACTGGCGAAAAAAGCATTTTTCTTCTGTACATTTTGCAATATTTTGCCTTGGTGTCACCCCTTTAAATGGTGTCACCCGGTGCTGTCCGCACCCCCCGCCCTCGCTACGCCTTTGAATGGGGTATAGAATAGTGCTAATGTTGTTTTGAAGTAATAAGTAGGATCACGACTGGGCAACGCATAAAGTGCATGATTTGAAGAAGAATAAAAGTGGCCAACAAAAATAAAACATTTCATTTGTTTAGTTAGAAAACACGATAAAGTAAATATGATGCAACCTTCGGTTTTCTTGGTGTGCATGCAAACGCCATTTGATTTTTTTAAAACTCAGAACTATTAAAACCTAATACGTGCCTTCGTTCTATTACAAAAAGAAGAGAAATAAACATACCCCTCAGTTTACAAAACTGAAAAATCAACTGTAAAATTATTTGCTCGCGTCCAATACAACCGACAAACTTTTTTAAAAAAACGGAAACTTTGTAAATAAAATTCATCACTGTATGTTTATCAATTCCATCTTGTAAATAAACGGCTGACAGATTAAAAAGAAAAAGAAAAAAAAAAAGTCAACAGACTCGAGTCGTGTGTGGGTTTGAGTGGATCCCTTCAGCCCTGTAATGGGTCAGCTTCCGGTACAGGAATCGATTGGTTGGTGCAATACAATACGTTATGTTCATAAGATAATAGTCGTTAGTGTTGCAAGTTTGAAGCCATTTATTCCAGTGACGCACACAAATAGTAGTCGAAGGATGGGGGGGGGGTGTTGGGATGTTAGGGAAAAGGGTTTGGAGTGGGTGCTTTAAAGCTAGTTAGAAAGAAGAAAAGAAAAGCTGAAAAAAAAATGATAAAATAGATGTTTGAAATGTTTGTTTTAACTTACAAGACGAAGAAAGCAGAAGGGGGTGGCAGCAGGATTAGAGGATATCGTGTGGAAGAGGGGGATCTTATGATCTCATTGAAAAACACAATAAAGTCAGATATCAACTGGGTTGTCTCGGGCAGATAAGGCTCGATAGCTGGGGACAGCAACTCTTCTAGGATAGACAACTCCAAAATCAAACTACTGCCTTGTAGTTTGTTCTTGGTTTCACAAATGCTATGAAAGCAAATCCAAAATAAAAAGCAGGCTGAAATCGGAGTCAACGACATAAGTGGCGTATAACCAGTTGACGCGTATACTTAATTGTGTTTGGAGGGAATCACTTGTAAAACTAAAATTAAAAACGAAGAAGAAGAACTGAGTTGTGTGCTTTTCTGTTTAGTTGTGTAGAATATGTGGCTGGTTGTTTAAACGGGAGCAGCGAGAGAGCAAGTTAACCAACATATAAAGGCCAGACTTGACTAGAGTTGGTAGTCTCAGAACACGAGAAACATTTCCCTGGAGTAACTAAACTACTAGCTAATGGGAGGACATATTTAATCAGCGCTGTCTAGTTATTTCATAATTAATTAGGCATTATGGAATATTGGAGAATTTATTAATTCATTAAACTTCATCACACGGCAAAAACAGAACGCAATATTAAAACTCGTCAAACATACGCCAACAATATTCTATATCCAATATTCATCAACATTCTAAACCATCTAACATACGCCAATAGCCCAGCAATATTCGATAAATCCAACATACAGACCATCAATAATTTATCCCAACAAACATACGCCAATAGCCCAGCAATATTCGATACATCCAACATACAGACCATCAATATTTTATCCCATCTAACATACGCCAATAGCCCAGCAATATTCGATAAATCCAACATACAGACCATCAATATTTTATCCCATCTAACAGATCCCAACAGCCCAACAATATTCAAATACATCCAACATACCATCAATATTTTATCCCATCTAACATACGCCAACAGCCCAACAACGTCCATCTAACGCAATAAACGATAATCTCTTTATTGTCAACAATGTCTTCACATCCCCCTCTCTCCCCCCCCCCCCCCCCCACCATATACAGACACGGACAGAAAACTAATACAATTAACCAGATGACCTCAGTGCCTCCATCGAAAGGGGGGAAAACGGCCGAGGGGAGAGAAGAAAAGAAAAAGGCAAAAGGAATAGTTCAATGGTAAAAGGAATGATTAAATGAACTCAAAGTCACGAACTCTTCAAAGTCATGGGTAAAAAAATACACACGCCGTCAATCAGTTTTAAAGGGGAAGTTTTTGTCATTGGCAGGGAACATGCTTTAGGTCTTTCCTCATTCATTTGCTCAAGTAAAGGGAACCATTTTTATAAGGTTAAAGAGAAACTTGGAACATGTTTTCAAACTGGGGTAAAAAACGAACGTCTCTTGGCTGCTATTGAAGAGAGTGCTATTTGAATAGTGCCTGTTTAAGTGATTGTAACATTGATTCCTATAGATCAGGGCTGTGTGGGTAGTACAGCAGGCAAGTACCTTGTGGTCCACCACCCCACCCACCCACACAGGACATCAGCATTGAGTGGACACACCAACAACATACACCTTCCATCTGGTGAGTCCCGAGAGTTACTGGCTAAACATGTACAGGTTGGCCAACCTATTCAATTGCGTTTCATCATCATCTTTACTCGTTCGTGCCCAAGACACAAGGAGGCAGGTCAAGTAGTTCATCTGTTTCGATGACCTCGGCATACAAGGGGATACTGTGGTCAGCACTATGCCTAGTCACCTCTGATTTCCTAACGGTACTCTTCAGAGCTGGGTGGTTCTAATTGTGGCTAGTGGTGTACTAGCTCTTTTGTGTGGGCACTTTAAAAACTTTGGCAACACGTAGCTGATGCCTGTGTTTGCTGGTTTCGCTAATCTAATACAAGCCATAACTTAAGCCCAAACGTTAACCCTAATCCATCGTCTTATCGCAGTTCGTACCCTAGCACGTATTTGAATGGAAAAAAAAAATAAAGATTCCCTTTTAGACCTAGCGGTCCATTGGGCGGATGAAGTTGAGTTCATGTTTCTTAACCTGGGCATATGAAGGGATGGTGTGGTCAGTCCTATGCCCAGCCACCTTTACTTTCCTCAACGTTAGTCAGGTACCCATCAGAGCTGGGTGCACTCAAGGACGTCCTGGTCACAGGTCCGAACCGAGATCCGAACTCGAGACCTACGGGCTAGCAGCCAAACGCTCTACTATTCGACCACGCCGTCCCATTTTAATTAAAACATCACTCTGAAAGACTTCGAGACATGTTGTATCGTCTAGTTGACGTTTTTATAGGAACCAAATCATATATACGACATTGATAAATTATCCATGTATTTACCCCCCCCCCCCCCCCCTTTAAGATATTCATCTAGTACTAAAATAGAATACATACTTGGAGAGCGCCACACCCCCGGGTTTGCCCACAAACTCCTCGTGGTGGAGCACCGACTCATTCCAAGGAATGTCTAGAAAATGGAGGATCCGGTCCATCCACTCCCGCGGGTGGAGCACGAGCTGCTCGTAGTAGACCGGCATGCACTTGCGCGGCCCCACGTGCAGGCACTGGGCGTACATGGTCTCGAGGGCCACGTTCCACTTGGAGAGGCACTTCCTGTAGCTGTTCAGGTCGAACCCTGAGATGGTCACCTTCCGCGTGATGATCGAGTGGACGACGGCCCGCCCGTCCCGGATCATCAGGATGTACTTGGACTGCGGGAACTGCCGGCTCAGGTACACTGTGGATTTCAACGTGAACGGGTCTTTGTTGCACAGGTGCGGCGCCGCTGAGCCGTGCTTGGCGATGATCTCGAGGATGAAGGCGCGGACCGCCGCGTCGATGACGTCACTGGTGACGCCGGCTTCCTCCAACCGGCGCTTCTCGATGGCGGATTTCTCCCACTGCGACCTCATGCCGAGGATTCTTGGGATGACGCGGGTCTCCTCGCCGCACCGGATATCCGGGTGGGCGTCCAGCATCACCCGCATGAGCGTCGTGCCGCTCCTGGGCATGCCGCCGACAAAAATAATCGCCATGTTGTCGTCGTACGGAAATGCCTGGTGGTCCTTGTCGTAGATGTACTTTGTTTTTTCCTTGGGGACCATCACAGCCTTGGGCCCCGGGTCGCACGGGAAGGCTAGGTAGAGAATGTAGATGAAGATGAGACAGACGGCGACAACGAAGACTTTCTGGCGCCCTATAGTGCGACATATCCCCATGCTAATCCTGTCTTCCCTAGACTTGCCGAGCTCCGTTTTGTACATACAATTGAGCAGGCTATGCTTGAGATGGAAGAAGGAACGTCGCGAGATGAACAGGTTCTCACGGTTCTTCAAGAGCGCTGAAAATAGAGAAAACGGTGTGAGTCTTGTAGTTAAACACTAACAACAGGTAATAGAATATATGGGAGTTTGAAAAACAGAAAACATTGACATATTACATTCACCACTTTTGGAGTTTTTTTTATTTACTATGGGCTAGAAGCGGGCAGCTATTGAGAAAGATCCAAAAGTGTTAGGGGCGTCTGCAGAAAATGTATCTGATTCAAAGCAATTAAGATTATGAGTGCTTTAGCTGTTGTTTACAGTAGACCAGGGGTTCCCAACCTTTTTCTACTCTAGAGCACATTCTAAAATATCGGTAGGGTGGCGGGCACCACCTATTTTAAATCGACAAACTCCTTCCATAACTTGTCATTTAACATTTTCCCATAGTTTATTTTCTTATTATATTATGGTCATAATGTATTAATAAATAATAAACAAAACTGTTTCAAAATAATAAAATTATTTTTTTCAAATTGCATACACACAGAGAAATGTATTTCCAAAACGTAAATAGTGCCGTCTGGCTCGCCGCTAGACAAGTATCAATTATCAAACATATTTAATAAACCTAGACAGTAAAAAAAATTAAAACTGTAACAAATGAATAAAAATAATTCATATTTTAAAATAATGTTTATGAAAAAAATATGTCTCTGTCGAATAGTGAGAGGCGGGCACATACGAATCGTTCAGCGGGCGCCATGGCGCCCGCGGGCACAGGGTTGGAAACCCCTGCAGTAGACAATATGTTACATTAGTCATTAGACAATAAAAAATGTGGACTAAATACTGTTATATTAAACACAAAAATTAAGACTGTATACTACCGCTCTAACCCAGTTTGTTCTGTAAAAATAAAAATAAATAGAAACATGACGTCACTAAACGAGGGAAATTGAGGACAACTCCTGACGTCACACAGACACAGGAAGGCGGGGGAAAAGAGGACCACGTGATGCTGGCACTGAGGGGAAAGGCAACCTTTTAACCGATCCCTTTCTGGGGAATATTTACGTTACACGTCGATAGTCTGTTATTCTATCAACATTTGCCCAATACCGATTTGGAACAATCAATAAATATTTCTCTCTTGACAATAATATGCTGAGATGTAGGGTGCGTGAGGTGGGGGTGGGTAAACCCGCCACAACACGGCTATTTTTACTTTTACTTGTGTTCTTATTTTCTGACAATAATATTTTATGGCCATCTTACAAAGAGAAAAGGGGGGAAATAATGTTATTAAGATCTAGATATAAAAATGGGAGAAGCTTTATTCTATTTAATAGTTTCATTATTTTCTCTGACGTTGTGGAACACATCAGAGTTTAAATGAAACTAAATTTAATACTGCTGTTACAAGCTTTCGAAAGCACTTTTTAAAAAAAGAAAAAGTTTTTAAATATAGATTTAAATATATATTTATTACTCGGGCTTAAGTTAAACCAACCCCTGTGAAAAATATGTTAAGTAAATTTGTGTTTGATGTTGCTGAAAAGGAAAGTTTAAAATTATTTCTGATAAAAGTCCAAAATAAAAAAAAAGGGCAGTAAGGTCATGATAAATATCTTCCAAACAGTTTGTTAACTATACAATTGACTGGATCTAAATACAATACTGTCTATGCTATTACGGATCATTTATCTGTTAAGCATGCGTGAATACCAATGGACGAAAGAGAAAATAGGAAACATTAACAGCCTAGTTTCCGTTGTATTTTACCTCAACGGGCAAAAACAGCTAGTTTGATAAAAAGCAGCCCCATTTTTTTACACATAATATCACATTTATCTGCGAATAGCGTCCTATTTTATAACCACAAAAACACATTATTAAATTAAATAAACAACGGTTCTTTGTATCGATTTGTCTATTTAAATAAAAACACATTCACTAACCTTGATAAATTCTCACAAAAACAACTAAAATAACCCTGTCCTTACACCTAATACTAATTTCTCTGTTATGTCCAAAGCCTAATTAGCCCCCCGCCCCTTTAAACCCCTCGTACTGGCATCAGGAAGGACAGATAGGTTTACAATGAGACCAGCCTGAAGCCGGCTATTACGAGATGGAAACAGATACGAAAACCTCCAGGGTATCAAGTAGAAATTATTTCCGATACTATTTTTTTTTTATAAATGTCACATGACGCAACCGTAGTGGTAGGAACAGGAGTGGTTGGAGGAAAAGTGGAATAAATGGATGTCGATTTAGTTTAGAAGAAAAATAGTTTAGCTGGGACGCCGATTTTTTTTTCCTTCCGAATACCTTCCATACACGCCGCCATGTTTGTCTTGCTCCGACAGAAATCATCGCTCACGGAAAGGGAGATCACTATCTCCCCCCTGGCCGCCAGGGTAGAGGGGCTCTTCTCGCAGCGGGGTGGAACACGAGGAGCTTGAAGAGGACTGGCCAAGGGAGTGAATCTAGCTGTTTCTCATGGCGCTGGAGTTGCTGCCCGCGACGAGTAAAAAACACGGAGATGGCCAGCAAGGTGCGATGCTAATCTCGCTCAAGACGTTTGATAAGCAGGGTGGGGATAAGACGCGACTCTCTGCGATTTTCTAATTATCCGGGGACAGTGGGGGAAACACGTTAAGGATGTCTGTAAAATGACGCGAATCGACCGGCGGCTGTTATTGAGCACCTCCAACACCAGAAACGTGGACATCTGTTAACACAGTGAGAGATGACGACAATAAGATAAACGGGTTTCTGGAAACGTCTCACGGAATAATAAATTGGAATCCATATTTTTAAGACGGCATGCCTATAGAAAGATAATAAGAAGGCTTGGTAATGTATTTTTGGCTATTTTTTATACAGCTTGTGCCTTCGTTGTTTTGACCAGTAGTTCCATATTTGCTTTAATATGATACCAAAAACATGTTTAGAACCCAAGCGTCAGTCACGAAGCACAACTGACTTCCACCCATTATTCTAAGGAAAGATAAAACTGACTTCAAACTTCAATGTTGAAACACCACATACCCCCCCCCCCCCCCTCCCCATTTCAACGACTAGCAATAGCTGACCTCCACTTTTCTAACAAGACACAACTATCACCTACTTCAATGGCGAGATACAACTTACCCCCCCCCCCCCTTAAAAAACGAGACACAACTGACCCTTACTTCAATAACGAGTCACAACTGACCCATACTTCAATATTGACACAAAAACGACCCCACCCTCATTTCAATTACAACACAACTAACCCCCTATTTCAACGACTAAACACAGCTGGTAAATATCCCAGCCCTTTTAAAAAAAAAAAAACTAGACCATTTCGAGATCAAATTTAGTTGTGCTAATAGTCCGCTCATCAAAACTGTGATCGAATACCCTTTATAACGCTGATTTCCCCCTTTGTGTTTCAAGTACTATCGCAGCGATCTCAAGCCTGATATCCGGTAACGTGATTCAAACCCCAATGGGGTGGGGATGGATGATAATTCCAGAAAAAGCAAAGTTCATTAGTGGAGATATCAATAATTGATCTTCGATCCCCACATGAGAGAGTGAGAGAAGAGATTTATATTGGCATCGAGGTATCAATGGACGAGCGGTGATCGCCACTAGCTATGGTTTCATTATCTCAACACCTCCATACAGATCAGGTTTAGGGAGCGTTGGAGTGTGTTTACACAGGCTGGGATGTTGGTTTTATAAGTTGGGTGGGGGGGGGGGGGAGAAATGGTGGTTTTATAGGTCGGTAAAGATGGTGGTTTTATAGGTCGGTAGTGATGGTGGTTTTATAGGTCGGTAGTGATGGTGGTATTATAGGTCGGTAGTGATGATGGTTTTATAGGTCGGTAGTGATGGTGGTATTATAGGTCGGCAGTGATGGTGGTTTTATAGGTCGGTAGTGATGGTGGTTTTATAGGTCGGTAGTGATGGTGGTTTTATAGGTCGGTAGTGATGGTGGTATTATAGGTTGGTAGTGATGGTGGTTTTATAGGTCGGTAGTGATGGTGGTTTTATACGTCGGGGGAGGAGGGATGGAGGTTTAATAGGTCGTGGGAGGTGGGGGAGGATGGTGGTTTTAAAGGTCGGGGGAGGATGGTGGTTTTATAGGTCGAGGGGATGGTGGTTTTATAGGTTGTGAACCTAATTAAGCAACAAATTACTTAGAGCCAGTGCCAGAAGACCGTCTGACCCTCTTGTACTAGTACATATTACGAAACTCCATTGACAAATCCCATTTCAGCACAAGCGGGCCAGGGACTAAGAAGATCAATCCTCACTATAGCACTGACCGAAACAACCTTTCACTGCCTGGGTAACCAGCATAACTAGCCTGGGCGGTGTTACGTAGATGTTGGACGGTGTGGTGTAGACGTTAAGGTAACTATCAACTAATGTTATCACGGTGTTACTTAGATGTTGGCCGGTGTGGTGTAGACGGTAAGGTAACTATCAACTAATGTTATCACGGTGTTACTTAGATGTTGGCCGGTGTGGTGTAGACAGTAAGGTAACTATCAACTAATGTTATCACGGTGTTACTTAGATGTTGGCCGGTGTGGTGTAGACGGTAAGGTAACTATCAACTAAAGCTATCACTGTGTTACTTAGATGTTGGCCGGTGTGGTATAGACGGTTAGGTAACTATCAACTAATGCTAACTTAGATGATGGCCGGTGTGGTGTAGACAGTAAGGTAACTATCAACTAATGCTAACTTAGATGTTGGCCGGTGTTGTGTAGACAGTAAGGTAACTATCAACTAATGTTATCACGGTGCTACTTAGATGTTGGACGGTGTGGTGTAGAAGGTAAGGTAACTATCAACTAAAGCTAACTTAGATGTTGGCCGGTGTGGTGTAGACGGTAAGGTAACTATCAACTAATGTTATCACGGTGCTACTTAGATGTTGGACGGTGTGGTGTAGACAGTAAGGTAACTATCAACTAATGCTATCATGGAGAAACTTAGATGTTGGCCGGTGTGGTGTAGAAGGTAAGGTAACTATCAACTAATGTTATCATGGTGCTACTTAGATGTTGGA